AATTTAAAATATGAGCTCTCCGTAGCATTATTAATACCTCAGCAACCGTATCTTCCAGTAGAGTCTGCTTTTATTCATGAACATGGTACACTTTACCCTGAAGTTATGTATAAAGTTATGCTTTGTCACTCTGAGTCTCTGACGTTATGTTGAAAGGTTGTTGTTATGCTCTAACGTAAATTATGCTCTGATATATTATGCTCTGACGTATGCTCTGACGTATGCTCTGACATATGCTCTGACGTATGCTCTGACGTATGCTCTTACGTATGCTCTGACGTATGCTCTGACGTATGCTCTGACGTATACCCTGACGTCACATGTTATTGTTAGTTAGCTCTCTGACCTCATCTAGACTGAGACATATCCCAGTACCTGTCAGTTGCAAACACAGTTGCAAACACAGTTGCAAACACAGTGAAAGTTATACCTTCTTAGCATTGCAGAAGACAACATGTTATCACGGCGCTGGAAATTACAGCAAGATGCATTCTCGGGGGAAGCCCATGGTAACCGGTGTGTCTTAGTAAAATCATCTACCTCCTCGTGGTACTAGTTATCTGCAAATACAGCTATTTTCTTAGCCTGAAAATAACTTACTGTCCATCAGAACTGTACTCAGAAGTCAGAACATGATATATCACAACTATCGTGAACAAATTTAGTGCAAGAGTGCTGCCGTGATGAACAGTGGTAGAAAATCTTAAACGTCAGTTATAGCCCATCAAATGTTATCACTTTGGTAACGGTTCCTGTCGATTTTTCTGAAGAAGTCAATAAAATAGCATCCTATCTGAAATGTTAAAATGATCCAAAAAGCCGTTTACGAGAGCTGCGAAAACATTCAAAAGTTTAAAACTATATTTGAACAACCTCCAATTTTAACCATTGGAATTTGATACATTTTCATTAATGCGCTTAGCTGATAATGATTGGGCAGGCAGGCTTGGTTTAAATACAACCAGATATACGCTCTGTATTGTATGTGTAAATCTGGCGGCTGGTAAACCGATTTTGACGTCGGAAACAAACTCGTATAATCTCGCAACAATTGGTCATAGTAAGGCTTCCCCAGCTTTGTATTTGCCCCATCCCGACGACACTGCAAAGACAGATATATATTGCGCCATTGTTTTTAACAACTGATTCACATTTTCTTCAGGGACTTTGCTATAAGTAAATATTTGTCAACACTGATAAGTTGATACAAGGCCGTGAATATCATGACAATTCGCTTGTTTTTACAGGGATTTCGCTAAGTAATTATCTGTTAAACTTAACATTGATTTAAGGCCAAGAATATCGAAGCTTTTATATATCAATTGAGTATTTTGACTGTCACTCCAAATGTGCCACTGACAATTATCTAGGGAATAAAATTCACTCGTGGAAGAAGCTAATAATTAACTCGTAAGACTTATAGAACGCAACGTAGATCATTTTCGTATATTGTATCACCAGTTATTTGTTACTTATAATTATACCAACTTTTAAAAGTTAATGTAATTACTTAGCTTTAATATTTGTAGCCCTGTAGGCTGTAAGTTGTATCAGCATTGAGTAAAACTACATAAATATTGACGTTGTTTGACGTTGTTTTGACCTGCTATAGCGCGGAGAGCGTGCAAGAAGGTACGCGAATATATAATACTCTCATGGTACGCCACGTAGCCTTATATCATCATAGATAAGTCTGCTACATTACTTCATCACTGATCAACACCACGGAATATAATTACCCAGTGGTCCTCTCTAGTCTCTACACCTACCAGGCTTACCTGTCTGACGTTGTCTGCTTGAGGAGTTGACATCCAACCTTACAGAATATCCACGCATTTATAACAACTATTATTTAGTACAGTATAATGCGGTTAACACCGTGCAGTAAACCATACATCACGTGACGCGTCACAATCGCTAGCTGCAGGTTTCCTTTGATAAAAATAATACTTACTTTCCTACTTTAGCATAATTATATTAATAAAGCTGTGATGTGTGCACTTTCACGATTTACCATTACGTTTTGTTACTTTTATTTATGTAAATGCACCTGTAAGCCGTTACTTATAGTTATGCTTTATTTGTTGTGTTCACAATTCCCATGTCTAGTTGTCTAGCGCTAATGATTTCATTTTTTGATGATGGTGTTTTTAACACTGCTTACCGTTTCCTTATTTATATTCATTATGCAGATTGTATATCGTTTTATATGTACCTAAACCGCAAACTTCCGTCAGGAATGCCAATTAAAATTAAATGCACCAATTTTCCAGAAAGGAAAAGCACTCCAGATTAATTGTTTTTCTCCAGAAACAAATTTCTGTCAATTAAAAACGGGAAAATTACAAATGAAGCGGAGGGTGCTCCTTGTTGTTTCGTACGTCACAACTATCTCTTAATCATTACTGTTAAATACTACTATAAAAGTATAAAGTATAAGTTATATATTAATAACTACAATACATACAATTAATATATCCCACATACAATAAAAAGTCCCGTACCTGGTAGTGCCCTGGAACTAAGCACTCACTGCTCCCCTACTTCAAAGTTCACCCGTGCACTTTTTAAATTAGCTCCTCTCATCAGCTCTTCTATAAGTAGAAATATGCACACTCTCTCTCTCTCTCTCTCTCTCTCTCTCTCTCTCTCTCTCTCTCTCTCTCTCTCTCTCTCTCTCTCTCTCTCTCTCTCTCTCTCTCTCTCTCTCTCTCTCTCTCTCTCTCTCTCTCTCTCTGAGGTATTATAGCTTTATAGTTAACAACATTTACAGTCACGCAAAAATGAGAAATATTTTTCATTTGTTGACTGCTGCGTGTCAGGTGGCACATTGGAATTCTTATTGTTCTTTATTGCGAGGCCATTATAAAGCATTAAATAGAGTTGAGATCCACCCTAAAATTTCCAGCTTGCTTATACCGCTCCGGCGTTCATTTTCACAGGGAGGGGTAGTAAACTAGCAGTTAAACTGAAACCCTATCCGTCACACCTGTGATTAGCCACTAGCCAGAGCACAAGCACAGAAGTTTTAACTCACATATGAACATATTATTACATATGAACATGCGCAGCTATCTTATACCCTAGTAAGTAGGGGAATACAATTTCGTCAGCTATTGCACTCTCACAGCCCTCACACTCTCACACTATCCCTCATTCCTACAGTTAGTGACTTTTAAAGCTTTTTTTGCTTCGGATCCGTGTTTTGGTGCATGCTTGCATAGTAAAGAGTCTAGGGTTTTTCTGGCAAGATGTTTACCTACAACAGCTACATGTTCAAAGTGTCTCCAACTAAAAGAAATAATGATCGTGCTGCGCGAGAAAAAGCTGAAAAATGTACAAGTGTTGTGCGAACTGGGAAAGCGGCGAAGTTGCTGGGGTTCAAACACCCTTTGGGTTTAGCTATTTGCTATGGGGTAAGCTGAAATGTTATATATATAGGGTTCTGAAATGTGTTTTAACGCATGTGGAATTAATGGTATTACTAACTCGTTACTGTAAGTATATAGTAGTTACGAGTTGATTAAGTAATGTTGGTTAAATAAAGTCATCGTAATGTTTGATAATAGTAATACTTTTGTATTTGTTAGTAATTCTTCCACTTGTTAGCTATTCAAGATGTAGAAGTGCCGTTATACATAAAAATTAAAGGTTTTCCAGTAAAGTGCAGTATTTTCTGGATTGCTGCACTCCTTAATTGAAAGTGAAGTATTTTCCTACAGACTCTGTAACTCTGTAATAAAGCGTGAACTATTCGGGATCACCACATTTCTTACATAGTTGTTAATGTGCTAAATCTTCCTGTAGAGTGTAGAACATTCGGGGTCGCTCTTACTCAACCTTCTAGAGCTGAAATTCCATCTCGTATGGTGATAATCATGGTAGCCAATGCTTTGTTCTAAAGGTAGAGAAATTTAGGAGACGAATATGTTATAGCGAATAGCACGTACTAGTACAATCCTTAAGAGATAGCCTAAAGTGTTTATTTTCCAAGGTAAATATGTGTTATCTAGTTTTACTCTTATAAATGTCAAATATTTACCTGCATCATGTAAAATATTTGGGATCGCCCTTACTTTATAGCGTCAAAGATCAATAAAAGTAAAAGAACTAAGTGTAAAGGTGAAAATTTTTTCTGATAAGCGCAAAATATTTGGGATCATCACTCTCTTCTTAATGTTACATACTTTTCTGCAAAGTGTAAAAAGTCGTGAAATCCTCAAGTCACCAAAAGCACGTACTATATGAGTATTGCTGAAAGCACAGTGTAAGGCCTACACGGACCGCCTCTAATATGTTAATAAAAGAAAACCTATAGTGTATATTTAAAAGGTGTGTAATTGTGTTACGGTCAAATTTACAGATATCTCAAGAATCGATGGCATAGAAAAAATCGTTAGGTATTTCAAAGGCGTCTTTTCTATTATAAGTAAGTGATAAAATGTCGGAATATACATCCAGAGGGTTGTTTTTTCCTCATCCTTACAAATCTGTCAAATATCTTACGCAAGTGTAACATTGTTTATTATGGAAGAAATGATGACGCTGTCTGTCGTTGGTGATTTATGATAACATTATGAAGAAGCCGCATATATTCAATAAAGGGTATCAGTGCTTGGATCAGCTATTCTTCAAAGTTCTTTCCCTCGCCGATGATCTAAACAAGATAACACTAAAATACCACCAAAAAATAAACTGAAGCCTTCTTCTTGTCAGAGCCAAAGAATAATTTAAATTAGTTTGTTGTCGGTGTTTACTATAACATTCCTCCTCTCTGCACACTTTATTAGGTAATACTGTCCTGCATTGTTCATCTTTTCATCAAATTTAATGAACATTCATGGCATTGGAAGACACTCCCGGGGACTCTCTATACTGCAGTTCAGGCACGCATAAGGAGGACTTAATAAATCCTCTAAATATCTTAAGAATGCCATCGTACCAGAAGCATACCAACTGCTCCTCAAACTTGTACATTGTTCCATGAAGCTCTTTCAGACACTACTCGGCAGCACATCTCACTTTGTAATTACCTTCGTGTCGAAAAGTAGTAGTTTTCCAATTAGAGCTTGCCGGCTACAGCTTATTTGCTCTATACCTACATTTGTTTTAGCGCGTTTGGTCGTTGCTATTGTTATTTTCCTCCAACTCTCAAAAAATGAGACTCGGTTACAACAGACGTGCGGCAAACAGAGCTGCAGGAACCAGAAAAACTCGGAGCATAAAGTACCCCCATCCTCGAAACCTTACACTGCTTTTCAAGGTGAGATAACTTCACTTCACTTATCAACAGGTAGTTGGAACATCAACATGTGTACGTATTCCTAGTCAGTTTTCTGCTCCAAAAGTCAGCTCTGACCTTACTCCCTCTACTATTTAGCTATGCTGTAGAGATGTTGTAGTGATGTTGTTGAGTTATTACCGGGTGCGTTTTACCTGCGCAGGTTTCCGGAGAGTGCACGGTTATTGGTGGTTGAATGGACAAATAGGGTTGTTTCGAATGTTGTTAATGCGTTGATTTTTTGCGGCTGCTTTCATGTGCTATTTATACCAATATTCAAGTCTGCCTAGAATTTGTAGTTGCATTGCAAATTCTGTGAATAACATACAGACTGTTGCATAGTTCGTGTAACTTAATTTTGTAAAGCTGGGAGCTCTCCAGGCATGAAACTTTATAAGTTAAAAGTTACATGTCTGTTTTAGGTGTTACTTAGTGCCACATAGCGACAAATCTCAATACCGTATAACATTTAAGCGGTGAAAGATCCTGGCGCCATGATTAGAATCATCATTAGCGCCATGAATAATTAATGATTTTACATGTATCGGCTTATTCATATAAATAATGCACTATAGTTACACAGGTCAGTTGGTTTATTTTGACACTCCCCATAAATCAGATCCCAGTTATCTTTTGCTCTTGCTTCCGTTCTTGTTATGGTAATTTCCACCAGTTACTCCTAGATTTGCTATGTTTGCCTATAAAACCACTTCGTGAAATTTAAAGTTTGAGTAAGAGCATAATCAGGAGAGATATTGAAAAGATATTTCAGTATTCCCTTTCGTATGTAATTACTTGACCGAGCTTCTGAAAAATAGGTTTCCACGTTGCGCAGGCTTATGACAAAGGACACAAATATGTCGCCATAGCTGTAAGAAAGTAACGTATGAGGATGTAATTATGGCTTCTAAAGTCTAAACTCTTAGTAAGCTAAAACGTTCCTGCCTTATTGCCTTCAAAGCCAAAAAAGAGAAAAACTAAAATGTCAGCATTCTTTATCTTTTAAGTCTTGTGTTCCAAATTACTGATGTTTTCTGATCAGATTCAACTTTCAAGTAACGATAAGATGTTACAAGATATGTTACTGAATATTAATAAAAGTCACGTTTCAAATTAAAGGACATACTCTTACTCAAATAATTTGCCATAATTTTGATTCTTTCAACACTACTATATTATAACAAATAATTTGACTGCAAATAGACTATATTGTAACAGGTCACAGCTGCACCTTATAGCTTCATAAGTATCACAAAATTGTTATACTAAATAACCCTGTAATTATGTTTCTTATATTTGATCCTTCGAACAGCTGTTGAGCAATGAAACGCAAACATAATCTTAAATTATGTTTCAAAAATTAATTACAATCCTAATCCTATCATGCAGTTCTAATGAAGTAAAATCACAACCATATTAACCCAAACCGTTTCTTTCAAATAAATCGTGCCCCTTCTTCTTTTCCTCTTTCCCTCTTATGCTATCTATCCTCTCATTCAATCAGTTTACTGGCATCTCGTTATTAGAGTTACCTGTTATTGATATCAGTAATATTGATGGATTTGAGACACACTCGGACCTACTACAAACCAGAGTTCTCACCCAGTTGCAGTTGCCCAGTAAATTTAAGTATAACACTATAACAGCTGAACATTGCAACATGTAATAGTTCCGGCCAACCTCTAGTCTCGATACCACGGGTATAGTCCGGGGGTGCTGTCAACTGTAAAGTGTAAAGCACAATTATTTGATTTTGACGACCCAACATGAAACTCGGCTGCACAGCGATGACAGAAAATATTTACCTGACCTTAGTCAAACTCTGAACGTTAATCCGGCTTCTAACCGAGAATATCGCGTGTGAGAATGTTATTGAGGCTGAATAACTCCACATGTTTTTCCGTTTATTTAACCATGAAAATATCTTATAGATCCCGAATACCTACGGTCTCCAAACGGCTTCTCACCAGTCAAAACAAAAAATCCGAAAAAAAGTGGCAAAAAAACACACTGACACACGTTCTCACATATCACAGTTGCAAGTTGGCTGACCTCACGTTATATGTGCTCCTATATATAATACAGTACTTCTAAGTAACTGAACTTGTATTATATCCGCACTCGGTCTATGCAGCAGCTAATTACGTTACCAGCGATTTTGAATTTTCTATTTGGTTTGCCGTTGTCAGCGCGTATTTTACCATTGTTCGGGTCAAATGTTTACCGCAGTTTATGCCACTAGCACGCACAAGCCAGGTACCAACAAGCCCAGTACCAGTTCAAAGTCCAATCCCAACATGCGTACCGGTTACACTCAACGTGCCCAGAACAGGGCTGCTAACCGTAGGGGGCAAGGCAGGCAAGGCTCTGTAAAAAAGATAGACTATCCCCATCCTAAGGCGTTGGAGGTCTGTTTTAAGTTGGATGAGAAGAGTATTAAGGTAGGTTGGAGGAAATATGTTTTTATCTTTTCATGTTACATTGTGTAAAGGGTTTCATTTTCATAAATCATTGATTTTGTTATAATTGCATAATTTTTTTCCCTGCTCTTGCCGAAGGCAAAAAGATCGTAGGGAATAAGTAATCGGGTTTGGATATATGAGCTATCCCGATGGACCTGCGGTGACGACAAAAGTCTGCTCCTTCGCAATATAGACCACTCCCCTATAATTATGCGTAAAGGAAGCGTCTGTTATGCTGCGCGCGACGCTCGGCATGTGTTAGTTAATTGCAGTATCCAACGCGAATTTCAATTGTCAAACGATGCCGTTCAAATTAAATTAGCCCAAAATTTGTGCGCGGCGTACTAAATATTCGAGTACATGCAATCCTGCACGCGCGCAATGACAAATTACGATGAAAATATTGCAACTTTTTAACAACAAAATAATCCAATATCTAATTTTTATTAATCGATAAAATTAACTTTTCGTTGCAAATATTAACGGTTTAACTTTAAGCAGGGAAAATTAATCGTGCGTGGTGTAACCGCGGCGATATTCTTGTTTTAGAATCACAAAATCACATGTTATATGCCAGACTTGCGTGCAGCACCGCAAGTCCGGATGAAATAATTAAAAAATTAGACCTAACGGAGAATATATGTAATCATGTATTTTGTTTCTGCTTTTACGGTTGGCCGAGGAGTTACCATTTTATAGAATTAAGGAATACATTATTTTGGCTGTAAAGCAAGGATTTGAAGCAATGAAAAAAGTCCGAATTCATTTTATCTTAAAGTTTACAAATGTCTTCTTTTTATATGAATAATGAATTTGTCTGTTACTATAATAAATATGCTCAATCCACGATGTCCTAATCAGAACACATTTCAGGAGGGTGTAGAGGAAGGAGAGGCATCTGCAGATCCCTTTACAATCGAGCTGAAGATGTACCTGGAAATGAAAGGGTTCCCACACAAGGCAAGATACTAAATACTATTATAAGATAAGCTATGCTGCAAACTTTTTAGACTCTACAAGTAGTAATCTGTTACAACTCAGCTTATTTAAATTTTACAATGATAGGTAATGTACCATCGCAAGATTTGTATGAATTTTATTGGCCCTAATTTGTTTTACCCAACCGTAGTGTTTCAGTCTTAATCTTATCTCTGGCCACACAAGGCCAATTTGGTCAAATAGGATGTAGTCTCAAATAATTAATTTTCTTTTTTATCTCAGATACATATTGTTGATCCAGAGAAGGGAAAGAATCTACCAGAATGGTTTAGAAAAAATAATTGGGACGGTGTCCTTCCAATGACCAAGTAAGAGGATTTAATTAAGTTTAACATGTACTTCTTAAAACTTCAAGATATAAAAACGATTTCTGGGGCAAACGACCCTACAATTTTCATCACGTTCCTCTTTTAGTTAATTTTCAATAACTAAATGTATTTCCAGTTGTTTTTTTATATTATCTCACTTTTAAAAATTAATAATGAATAATGAATTGATTATAAGTAAAGCCATGAGATACCAACAAACATATCAAATTAGCCGAACAATTACATGTATGTTTCAGCTGCATGCATAACGTTAATATTTTTAGATTAAAAAAACACCAATCCTCACCTGATTCGTTGGACAACTTCATTACTTATGCCTAGATTATAAACCAATGTAGAATGTTTAAAGTTAAGTATCTAAAGGACCAACCCTTTTGTTGATTTCAGATACGACAAGGAACAATACAAACTGGGCTCAGCAGAGACGATGATGGCACTGGAGAAGAAGTTCTGTGTTCCCTCAATGTCTAGCGGTGGTATGGGAGCTGGCCGATTTAGGTACATTAACTTTATCGTGCTGTATAAGTTAATAAATCAGAACAAGGGATTTTATACCCACTAAACTACTTTTGACATGCTGGAATAAGCTGATATTTAAACAACAACGTTAAATCTACCAAGCCGGGGATATACCAATTGTAGCCACAGCTCTCATTTGTGTTTTTAGTTCACACTGATCGCTTCAGAGGTAAAACCGTCAAGAACCTGACTCTATCGCTGCTGAAATCAGTGAGACCCTACGACGATACTAATCCTGACTGGAAGGACCTCGTGCTGGAGTTCAAAGAGTTGGACCAGTATTTGGTTCAGTGTCACGGGTACGTCTTTTATATTAGTAATACGGGTACGTCTTAGTAATCAGTTGTTTTACCGAGCAACAACCCTATATTAATCATATTTTTTGTACGTTTTAGAAATCAGTAGCTATCACTAATGCTTTCTTAATCCACTTTTTCGTTCACTAATCAAAACAAAATTTAGTATCGTACAATATAATTGTACTATGATGAGCTTCGATCAATAACAAATTTTGTTTTGAAAATTCTTTCAAATATTCTAAACTAAACCATTTGAAACCCTCTCAGACGAGAAGGAGACTACATGAAGAGTAAGAAGTTTTCTCTGTGGGACATCAGGATGGTACCAGCTCTATATAATCTGGTATGATAAATTAAAGTGCATTTAAATAATTTCAGCACTTCAAATTATGAATATCCCAGTGTAATTGGTGCATCAAAATTGTGAATTGTCCGCCGATGAAACCAACTGAGTTTCTCAGATCCAATAATTTCCTTATAATTAACTAAATGTAAATGTGGACATGAAGGCACGTTAAGCTTATCAAGGTGTTTAATTAACCATCGAACTTAACTTCCAATATTAATTAGGGTTCCTGTTAATAAAGTAACAAAATAAAAATGTTTATCATTACCGGGAATAAGATGTATAGTTAAAATATAACTGTTGTGTCTGTGGTATTCATATTTAGTCTATGTAATTTGACCAAAACCCATAATCATGGGTAGAGTGTACCGCTGCCAGTGTCTCTCTTTTCCAAACAAAAGGAAATGATATTAATTTGAGGAACCGTCCGCTAATGCAAATTGATACCGAGAATGAAATCGGTCGCTCGCTTTTCCCATTCATTCACGGCTTACGAATTGTAATAAAGCTTATTAAATGGGAAAAGCGAGCGACCGATTTCATTCTCGGTATCAATTTGCATTAGCGGACGGTTCCTCAAATTAATATCATTTCCTTTTGTTTGGAAAAGAGAGACACTGGCAGCGGTACACTCTACCCATGATTATGGGTTTTGGTCAAATATCATTTCTTTTTGATTATAATGTCAGGATAATTTACACAATCGAAACTTCATTAACAAGGAGGTAATTCCGACGATTTCGAAATTCTGCCTTTAAAAACGTTTCCTTGTGTTTAGTTAGGTATATCTGTCGATAACCGACTGAATATGGCACTTTTTACTCATTCAAGTTGGCATTAAATTCATATATAATGCCATTTAAATATCGTGGAAAGCAGAATATATTCGAAATCACGAATGAGCAAAATTCTCACCTTTCGCACGTGCAAACTTTGAGCGGACGTTGCGTGCCCATACAATATTGAATCACCGTAAATTTTTGCATAGTGGTATTTAATATATAGTTTGATAAGCATGCAAAGTTTCAGAAGATTTCAAAAAGAACTTGGATCACAAGGGGACTCCAAAGTTGATAAAAATCGTGAAAATCAAAATTTTTAGTGATTTTAGCTATTTTAAATAAATTTGGGCGTGTCCCCACGTGTGCAACTTTTCGATTTTTAACTTTAAAACTAGCCTATAACACAATTTACACCTTCAAGAAGCAAAATTGAGCTCCACAACCCAAGGGATGACCCAACACCAGAGAATACTAATTCACAACTTTTGTGTTTTTATAAAATTATTCTTCAAAAAAGCACTAACTTCAATAGCAAATATCTTTATGAAGGAGCAAGGTAGGAAACTATTCCGGTAGATTTTCGGAATGCTTGAACAATTATCTAAGATGAAAATGTCCTCAGATTTTGAATAAAATTACTCCTTAATAGCGTAAAATCGATTTGAAAAGTTGTTACTTTGTCAAAAATCAAGTTTTTAAAACACTTAATTTGATGACGTCATCAAGTGATGATGATGACGTTAAATTATTTTTCAATACAATGTAAACTAAAGCTTAAACGATTATCTTTAAAACCTGTGGTTCGAGATGACTGTATCGTTTATACTTTCGAATCTACGGACACTTAAATGTAGGCTACAATTGACTGCAAAAAGCGTCTATATTATATATTATATATATATCTTCACGACAATCTGTTGTAAAACAGGGGTTCCAGAAAACCAACTTCACGATACTCCTGAAACATGAAATTTTTTTTACAGTCGATTTGGACAAGGTCTAGACGCCCTGCAAAGTTTCAGATCTCTAACTCAATTTTAACATGGTTTTTAAGGCACCTGAATATGGCGATTTTGGGTTTTTTACCTAATTTCGTATAACATGCTGGCGCGTATTTTGCGCAAATTTCTTAAAAACCTCCATATAACTATTTCTTATTCCTGTCATCTTTAACATTGAATTAGAATGTTTTGAACTTATAAATGTACCTGCTGATCTACTTTCGATGAGTCTTAATGCCTGGAAATCAATAAAGGGGATATAATAGTATAGGGGGTAAATAGTATTGTGAATATAAGGGCGACGGTAATGCTTGCCAGCATTGTGATAAGCGCCATGAGTTGGCACAGAATTTTTTGTCTCTGATTTTGATAAATTTGGTACCAAAAGTTGCCTTTAACTATGAATAATGAAAATTCACCGTGTAGCACGATTCGTTGAGATGTATGTGTGCCTCCTGTGCATTGCAAAAGTGTAATATGGACGAAAAATGGTTAATTTATTGCTTAAAATGCCTATAACTCCTAAAATATTGAATATTTTGAAATAATTCTTACAGAATCGTAATAAGCTTAATCAGACGCAACTTTTGATACCAAAATTATAATATTTAAAGCACCAAATTTTTCGAAAATTCTTTCAAAATTTTACACAAGGGGACCCTTGTGTTCAGATTAAAAACTTTTGAAAAAAAATTCCTTTAAATCTTAAATATTAGTACTAAAAGTTTCGTCTTGATGAGCTGATTACGATACCATAATAACTATGTGATAATAATTGAAAATATGAAAGTTATAGGCCAAAAACTAAAAATTTGCGCGAAAAAAGCACGCGCGGCGAACAAGCGCCGTGTAGCATTTTTTCCGAAAATTGCTACACGGTGGATTTATTTTATTCACATTTTTAGACAACTTTTGGTACCAAATTTATCGAAATCGGAGAAAAAAAGTTCTGTGCTCGCGCTTGGCGCTTATTACACTGACTAATTTTAACTGTCCAGTGTTTTTAAAAAAATGAAACCATACCTTGTTTATTTGCACCAAAAGATTTCGTAGAATGAATTATTATTCCAAAAGTAAAATATATAACTTTAATAAATTTTTTAATTTTAACTGTCCAGTGTTTTAAAAAAAATGAAACCATACCTTGTTTATTTGCACCAAAAGATTTCGTAGAATGAATTATTATTCCAAAAGTAAAATATATCACCGGTAAGGTATCATGTTCGATCACAACAATCTGCATGGTAAATGTATTTTAAAATAGGGGTTGCAAAAAACGCCCCACTCCTCAACTATTGCCAGTTTCCTATCTATCAAAATGATAATACCATTTGAAGCCCTGCCTGCAAATTTTGAAAGTATCTAGTTCAACTTGAACATGACTTTGTTGACACCTCACCATGGCAACTGTCCGTTTTTAACCGAGAAACGCGAAATCTTTAATTTGTATGGCAGTCATGCTGGCGATTGTGACTTTAAAATTCCTTTCGGTATGTTGAACATAAAAAATGGGAAATGACGGGATGAGTTCGGGTTATATACTGATCATACTTTTTTACTTTGATAGGTTTCGAGTCAGATATTTGTACATACTAAGAAAACTACTACTATTACTATTAGGTCGGAACTAAGTTCGATCTACGCCAGATAACCCATCGGGGTTCGCGGCTCATCTTTAGAGGTTGTCCCAACTTCCTTTAGTAACTGGATAGACAAGAAGCATTGTCTCAGTCGGCCTTGCTGTGCTCTACCAATACCATGCACAGACTAAATCACAGGCCGCAGTAGCTCAGGATGTCTGATGCAGTGTCCCGCCATTTTTAATCGTCTGCTCCGTAACTTGTTTGACAGTCTTGGTAGGCTACCATATAATGCAACATTGCTGACATTGTCTAACTAAAAGCGATCAATAAAAAAATAAAAATAGTGTGTCAAGACACTAAATAATAGTAGTGTGGTTAAATTCCTTAAAATAATTCACTTTAATTGAAATTACCGTTCAGGTTACAATCGCCAACTACTTCAAGCCAGGATTTGCCCTTCCGGACGAAGTACCCCATCTGAGAAGCTACCTCCAACACGCTTTCGAAGACCCCGTCTTTAAGAAGTTCTGCCCGACCGTGCGCAAGGTATTTGGGGTGGAGACGTTTATATTTACTGTAAATAAACTAATTAAACTAAACTTTAAAGTAAACTTTAAAGTAATCTATAATCTAATACTAGATATCTAATCTATACCTTTAAAGTAGACTATATACTGTATTTGTATTTGGCACGGTTGCATTTTTCGTGTTTGGAGCGATTAATAGTTGATGTATGAATTTAAAATGTTTAGAAGGCAAATTTGCACAGTGGTGAGTCTCCGTGTTAGTTTTAACTTTAAGTTTTTACCATCATTGACCCTTGATAAAAATAAATCATTACAGATTGTGAGGTACTACGAGCCAAAACTGAACGTGCGAATAGTCCTTCCAGACGACGTAGTGTAATCGTCCAGTCCCGTAAAGAGGTCACGTGTTCATGGCAACGGTGGATCTGAACCAGCCTGTGTCACGTCACGTGACGTCACACGTGACGTCACGTGACACTGTGATGACACCTCGTGACATGACAAGACCCCCACGTGGTTATTAACGTGGTATCGTACTGGTCAGTATCACGGAGAGAGCTCTGAAAGGATACCAAATTGGCGAGACAAATAATATTTCGAGTTGGATTTATAGTTGGAATGGTGAATGTCTCTGCAAACTTGAATATGGGAATGCATCGTTAGTTGTGTAAAACGGAATGTGGATTGTCAGGATGACAATGCAAAATTGTTTTCACGAATTAAATTTTTTGAAAACGTATTAATATTTTGCGATACTTTTATGATTGTTTTGATAAAGTGGGATTTCCTGGAAAAAATAACTTAACCAACAATGAAATATAATAAATAAATGCTGTAGAAATGTCAATTATTTTTGGTAACAGATAGCTTACTAGAAATACGGCATATCTTGACGTGCCCTACTGCATATGTTAACCAAAAATATATCTTATTTTTTATTCGTATACATATTGACATTAAAATGCGTTGAACTGTTATGGGTAACTTGGATGCATGAAGATGATAAGGTGGGTGAATACCTGAAAGCGAAACTATTTTGTGAGTGTTAACTAGGAAGATTGTTGCATGATGTATGATAACTTGGTTTTTTATTTTAGAATCCTTGATTATATGAAACCATGTTTCAATTACCAATCTGTACTTAATTTGCCACAAATTTTAATAAACCTTAACTTTATCGTTTTCATTTTTCTCTTTTACAGAAATTGCAATTATGAAAGGTTACCCGATTACCTGGGGACTTCGGCTCACATTAAAAAAAACATACCTTATAGGACTTTATTTGAACGGACAATGGACATTGGATGCCCTAGCGTTCATATTTAAGCCCGTCCAAATGAAGTTTGTCGTTTATGGTTCTGTCGAGTCCAAATCGAAGTCCATTTAAATTTTCCCCAACGCTATTCTACTAAAAACTTATTATTTAGGATATGAATACTTTAGCTTTTTATTTTCGGTCAATTTCTAGAGATCTATCAGACCAAATGATATCATCGGATCAATAATTGAAACAATTTGTCATCAAAAGATGTCATAAAGCATGTAAAAATTTGTTGCTAAATCAGATTATGGCATCGTTTTCTTCGGTTTCGTTTTTCATTATTTGCCGATAAGGTAAATTGCATTTTTTTTAGATATGGCGGAAAAAGAGACGGCGAAAATGTCGAACCTTAAATTTAAATTCTGACATCATGTTTTATGAATTATCATTCATGATTCATTTACTAGCTCACGTTATAAGAAACGCTGGAAAAAGGGATCAAATTGGTGACCATTTCAGGTTATGAAGTTTATGTGAGTTCATCTGTTAAAAAACTGTACTTGTTGAAAATTAAATTTACAGAACGATTAAACTATTACATATACAAAATTAGGTTAACTTACGCAATAAATTTCCATTTCGCTAATTTTTCCATTGTTTGAACCAACTTTCATTCAGTACGCGTACACAATTTAACTGGAGTTCTGTTTAACTTCTAACAGAGTTAAAATTGTTGTTTTGACTGGTACCTATGGCTATATCAATACAAGGGTTGAGAATAGATTATCGTATTTCACTCAACTTAACATCCAAATCCTCGCTACTTTTCAGTGGTTGGTTGAAATCGTTTCACCACTTTTGTTTCACTCTGATTCTATGATGTCGATCAAAAGACTGATATTTGTATTGTTTGCACTTCAATCAAACAATCCATTATGGTTCGCTATGGGTCAGGTGGGTCCACCGGGTCCACCGGGTCTACCGGGTCCACCGGGTCCACCGGGTCCACCGGGTCCACCGGGTCCACCGGGTCCACCGGGTCCACCGGGTCCACCGGGTCCACCGGGTCCACCGGGTCAACCGGGTCCACCAGGAGTCCCAACTACTAGTCCACCAGGAGTCCCAACTACCAGTCCACCAGGAGTCCCAACTACCAGTCCACCAGGAGTCCCAACTACCAGTCCACCAGGAGTCCCAACTACCAGTCCACCGGGAGTCCCAACTACCAGTCCACCAGGAGTCCCAACTACCAGTCCACCGGGAGTCCCAACTACTAGTCCACCAGGAGTCCCAACTACCAGTCCACCGGAGTCCCAACTACTAGTCCACCAGGAGTCCCAACTACCAGTCCACCAGGAGTCCCAACTACCAGTCCACCAGGAGTCCCAACTACCAGTCCACCAGGAGTCCCAACTACCAGTCCACCGGGAGTCCCAACTACCAGTCCACCAAGAGACCCAACTACCAGTCCACCGGGAGTCCCAACTACCAGTCCACCAGGAGTCCCAACTACCAGTCCACCAGGAGTCCCAACTACCAGTCCACCGGGAGTCCTAACTACCAGTCCACCAGGAGTCCCAACTACCAGTCCACCGGGAGTCCCAACTACTAGTCCACCAGGAGTCCCAACTACCAGTCCACCAGGAGTCCCAACTACCAGTCCACCAGGAGTCCTAACTACCAGTCCACCAGGAGTCCCAACTACCAGTCCACCGGGAGTCCCAACTACCAGTCCACCAGGAGTCCCAACTACCAGTCCACCAGGAGTCCCAACTACCAGTCCACCAGGAGTCCCAACTACCAGTCCACCAGGAGTCCCAACTACCAGTCCACCGGGAGTCCCAACTACCAGTCCACCAAGAGACCCAACTACCAGTCCACCAGGAGTCCCAACGATCAGTCCACCGGGAGTCCCAACGACCAGTCCACCGGGAGTCCCAACTACCAGTCCACCAGGAGTCCCAACTACCAGTCCACCAGGAGTCCCAACTACCAGTCCACCAGGAGTCCCAACTACCAGTCCACCAGGAGTCCCAACTACCAGTCCACCAGGAGTCCCAACTACCAGTCCACCAGGAGTCCCAACTACCAGTCCACCAGGAGTCCCAACTACCAGTCCACCAGGAGTCCCAACTACCAGTCCACCAGGAGTCCCAACTACCAGTCCACCGGGAGTCCCAACTACCAGTCCACCGGGAGTCCCAACTACCAGTCCACCAGGAGTCCCAACTACCAGTCCACCGGGAGTCCCAACTACCAGTCCACCAGGAGTCCCAACTACCAGTCCACCGGGAGTCCCAACTACCAGTCCACCAGGAGTCCCAACTACCAGTCCACCAGGAGTCCCAACTACCAGTCCACCAGGAGTCCCAACTACCAGTCCACCGGGAGTCCCAACTACCAGTCCACCAGGGAGTCCCAACTACCAGTCCACCAGGAGTCCCAACTACCAGTCCACCAGGAGTCCCAACTACCAGTCCACCAGGAGTCCCAACTACCAGTCCACCAGGAGTCCCAACTACCAGTCCACCAGGAGTCCCAACTACCAGTCCACCAGGAGTCCCAACTACCAGTCCACCAGGAGTCCCAACTACCAGTCCACCAGGAGTCCCAACTACCAGTCCACCAGGAGTCCCAACTACCAGTCCACCAGGAGTCCCAACTACCAGTCCACCAGGAGTCCCAACTACCAGTCCACCAGGAGTCCCAACTACCAGTCCACCAGGAGTCCCAACTACCAGTCCACCAGGAGTCCCAACTACCAGTCCACCGGGAGTCCCAACTACCAGTCCACCAGGAGTCCCAACTACCAGTCCACCGGGAGTCCCAACTACCAGTCCACCAGGAGTCCCAACTACCAGTCCACCGGGAGTCCCAACTACCAGTCCACCAGGAGTCCCAACTACCAGTCCACCAGGAGTCCCAACTACCAGTCCACCAGGAGTCCCAACTACCAGTCCACCAGAGTCCCAACTACCAGTCCACCAGGAGTCCCAACTACCAGTCCACCGGGAGTCCCAACTACCAGTCCACCGGGAGTCCCAACTACCAGTCCACCAGGAGTCCCAACTACCAGTCCACCGGGAGTCCCAACTACCAGTCCACCAGGAGTCCCAACTACCAGTCCACCAGGAGTCCCAACTACCAGTCCACCGGGAGTCCCAACTACCAGTCCACCAGGAGTCCCAACTACCAGTCCACCAGGAGTCCCAACTACCAGTCCACCAGGAGTCCCAACTACCAGTCCACCAGGAGTCCCAACTACCAGTCCACCGGGAGTCCCAACTACCAGTCCACCAGGAGTCCCAACTACCAGTCCACCAGGAGTCCCAACTACCAGTCCACCGGGAGTCCCAACTACCAGTCCACCGGGAGTCCCAACTACCAGTCCACCGGGAGTTCCAACTACCAGTCCACCGGGAGTCCCAACTACCAGTCCACCAGGAGTCCCAACTACCAGTCCACCGGGAGTCCCAACTACCAGTCCACCGGGAGTCCCAACTACCAGTCCACCGGGAGTCCCAACTACCAGTCCACCAGGAGTCCCAACTACCAGTCCACCGGGAGTCCCAACTACCAGTCCACCGGGAGTCCCAACTACCAGTCCACCGGGAGTCCCAACTACCAGTCCACCGGGAGTCCCAACTACCAGTCCACCAGGAGTCCCAACTACCAGTCCACCAGGAGTCCCAACTACCAGTCCACCGGGAGTCCCAACTACCAGTCCACCAGGAGTCCCAACTACCAGTCCACCGGGAGTCCCAACTACCAGTCCACCGGGAGTCCCAACTACCAGTCCACCAGGAGTCCCAACTACCAGTCCACCGGGAGTCCCAACTACCAGTCCACCGGGAGTCCCAACTACCAGTCCACCAGGAGTCCCAACTACCAGTCCACCGGGAGTCCCAACTACCAGTCCACCGGGAGTCCCAACTACCAGTCCACCAGGAGTCCCAACTACCAGTCCACCAGGAGTCCCAACTACCAGTCCACCAGGAGTCCCAACTACCAGTCCACCGGGAGTCCCAACTACCAGTCCACCGGGAGTCCCAACTACCAGTCCACCGGGAGTCCCAACTACCAGTCCACCAGGAGTCCCAACTACCAGCCCACCGGGAGTCCCAACTACCAGTCCACCGGGAGTCCCAACTACCAGTCCACCGGGAGTCCCAACTACCAGTCCACCGGGAGTCCCAACTACCAGTCCACCAGGAGTCCCAACTACCAGTCCACCGGGAGTCCCAACTACCAGTCCACCGGGAGTCCCAACTACCAGTCCATCAGGAGTCCCAACTACCAGTCCACCGGGAGTCCCAACTACCAGTCCACCAGGAGTCCCAACTACCAGTCCACCAGGAGTCCCAACTACCAGTCCACCAGGAGTCCCAACTACCAGTCCACCGGGAGTCCCAACTACCAGTCCACCAGGAGTCCCAACTACCAGTCCACCAGGAGTCCCAACTACCAGTCCACCAGGAGTCCCAACTACCAGTCCACCAGGAGTCCCAACTACCAGTCCACCGGGAGTCCCAACTACCAGTCCACCGAGAGTTCCTACTGCCAGTCCACCTGGAATCCCCACTGCCAGTCCACCGGGAGTCGCCAGCACGAGTGCGACGTTCCCTCCCAGTAGCGCTGTAGCCACTTCCAGCTCAATAACCAAGGGGCAAAGTAGCTGCATATGTCCAAAGGTAAAATTTATTATAGAGTACACTTGACTGGTGTTAAGGTGATGTGAATAAAAAATCTCTTGACTTAGTCAATTTAGACTTGACAGGTCAAGTAAAAATTTCGACGGTTCCATTATTTTTTCATTTTTACGGTTGTGCGTTCCCGCATACTGATTTGGAACAAATTTATGCTAAACAACCTACATTCACCACTCGAAAAATATCGAATCTATGATCTTCAATGCGAAATCTTTATAGAAAAAGGTTATTATCATTACATATGCTGACTGAATTAATTTACTGTACATGTAATGTTATATACTGATCTGCATTCAACAATAGGTTAAAAACGGACAATTCTCCGTTCCCACCGGAAGCCTGATCAGTCCCTCAGAAATTGCCATTCCTAACGTGTGACGAAGGCTACCGTGCCACACGAAGAAAGTTCACCTGTGCAGATGATACCACTCCTCGCTGTATCCGGAGGGTTAACAACGCGCTGTGTAGTTGTCTGAATAGACTGGGACGCTGCATCAAGGGGAGACAAACTGTGGTTTGTACAATTTACCGTCTTTCTTGAAAATGAATTTGAAGAGTTGATTTTAAACCAATAGTCCACATTTCAACAGAAATAAGTTTTACAGAAAACAAAAATGTGGTTAGCAAATTTTCAAAAAATAGCTATACAATTCTATAATTGATTCGAGGATTACGCTTTACCTTACATAACATATGATCACGACTATTTCATTAAGGTGAAAGAGTGTTCCTCCTATTTGGTGAAGTGCTTTACCTGGTCCTCCACACAACACTGTAGCAATGAAGTGAGATACAGAACCAACTATCAGGTTAACAACGGTAACTATAACAACGGTTATAATAACCCTTGGAATGCGGGGAACGGCTGGGGAATCTGAAATATTCAATATAAATTTGGAAGGACTTTCTTTAATTATGTTATTGCAGGATGAACTGTTTTGCTGTCTGATCATTTCATTGTGGCAATAGATTTTATAAGTCAATCAATTCATAATGATAAGTGTGTATAACAGTTTTTCAGCCATGGAGAAAATGCCCTGGTATTTGTTGAGGTAAATTCATGCTTAAAATATTTTGTCCAATGTTCAATGTTGGGAAATAATTTCATATATTGATCTTTTACGATATATAATTATTAATTATGATACATTAGATGTGTCAAATGCATTTCTAAGGTTCATCGATAAATTATGATCTATTTGAAAAAACAACTATCTACGATTTCACATAGTAACTACCTCACCTTTTTTGTTCCACTATGGTAACTTCATACCTGACACATATCGCAGCCTATCCTAACCATTTGATTGTATGATATTTCTGAGATATCCAACTTTGTTCTCAGTCAGTCAATTAGGAGCAACATGACCGATATAACAATAATTAAATCAATTAACAAATGACATACAATCGGCAAATCAAAAACCTGAAAACGTCCATGCCTCATAATTCGTATTCCCAACAGACCCCCCTCTTCGCTTCCAGGCTTCCTCACTTCCTGCACCCCTGGACTCAATTACTCCCCTTCAACCAAATCTTATGTTTGCATTCACCGTGCCTGCATGCCTTGAATATTGAGTAATAATATACACCTTTTTGTCACTTGTAGTTATTGGAAACTGTTGGTAATATGCAGCTTTCCAGTTTGGGAAGCAACTGTCAGTATTGATCAGAAACCTGAATTATTAAAACCGTCCTTTGAGTATCTACTTAGCACACTGGATATGATACAAGAACAGCTGGTAAAATTACACAGCTCTCCGAGAATCTCTAGAGAGCCAACACTGAAACTATGCTTGGTGTAGCTCGTTGGGATAGTATCGGAATTCTGGTTCCTGTAGTTGGGAATGAGGTAGTTGTTTGTTCACAGATCGCCGTCTAAACTTACAAGGAAATATTTCCTGTAGATCCTTGGTATATAAGCATCATTTGACAGAGCATAGTGTGGAGTGAGCTATGTGCCCATCCTTAGAGAACCCGGTGAATGTCCTTGCTGTACTGAAGGAAGGAACTGAAACCGAAGGGTTCCGTTCAGGCCCTTCACTCTTTGTTTCTGTCTAGTTCTAATGTACCGTCACAATAGTGACTTCAATATAAGCAGAGGTAGCACCGCAAAATATAGGTTCAGTAAAATTCCGACCTGCCTACATTTTTTCATGGACAGCAAATTTGGAGACAAAAACCATTGCAATTAAGCTGAACAACTCGCAGCTTTCAGGCACTCTCAGATTGAATTGCGTAGTATATAATTATATAACATTGTCTTACACACAATTGTTGAGTTTAACACAACAAATAACTTACAAAGTTAATCTTTTACACTGAGTAATGAGCATCCTGACAATTCAAGATGTATACAGTTAATAGAATACAGTTAATTTTTTACATGTTTTGGGTCTTATTTATGATTTTTTTTATAATTATCTTATTTATTTCATTGATGTATTGTCACGACGGGTTCGTTAGTGTTCCCTCTGACTATTTAAGTTTAATTCCATCAAGAATTACCCACACTGATTACTGAAAGTTTAACGATAAGATTGCAGACAGATAACTAGGCGTGTTGAGCTGGCGATGATTATAATTGAGGCAGAGTATTCAATATCGGAACTTTACATCATTGGATTCCAACACGTTGCGTGTATAATAAGAGTTTCTAACTGTAACGTTATAGTTAGAAACTCTTATTATACACGCAACGTACTATAACTATAATACATCTAATCGTGACTAAGGTGACACAATTTCAATCTGTTGAGGGATCACGATCCAGCTTGACGGTATAGTTATTCATTTGCCAAGGTTCATTTACGTGTGCCCTCTTTTGTTTTTCATCAACTGTTGATAATAAAAATAATTTTTCTCTCCGATGTGATGTCATGAAAAAATTTTGACCTCAACCACAATTGTGGGCATCTCAATCTTATTTTATTGTACACAGTGCACCACTCCTATCTGTTTCCTCTGCAAATGGGGCATTCATGTTACGATTATACGGCCCGTTTACCTAGTAGGTACCTTGACTTTAACACCTCAACATTTTCATGGTAGTTTCCTATCCAATTCTTCCACTTCCATCGGTCGAGAATTACAATCAGTAATTGACCCTCATTATCATCGCTGTCCTCGATCATCCACGTGAGTAAAAAACTTTATGTTACCTCAGTTTCTCCTTTTTTAAACTTGTGACACTAAGTTAGTAAGTGTACGGATTTATAAATATAAATATACTGAAAACTTCTGGGGTAATCTGTAATCTGTATGAATAAATCTTTTTAAATTTCAAAATTCATATATATTTTAGATCAATGTATTACATTTAAATTTGGACAAGACCAAAATATCTTCAATGAGTCAACATGATATAATATGAAAGTTAGGGAAATTGTACGTAAACAATATAATCTATTTCAGCTAAACCAAAATATAATATATTACGGCTAAACCTAAACTTAATAAAATGTAACCTCTTTTGTTGATTTGATAGACACATTTCTTACATGCACCTGGTACACACGGACTAAATACACACTAAAGTAGTACACAATTCCACTCGTGACTTGGTTATCATCTCCCGTGATCAACACAACCTCGTCATGATGGTAACAAAGGTACCAAGTGTTACCTTTGTTTAATACTCATAGAATAATGCCCGTGCCGTATACACACTGATACAGCTACTCAGCTAATACAGTCGTGACTTGTATCAACACAACCTCACGATGAGGTTGTGTTGATCACGGGAGACGATAACCAAGTCACGAGTATTAATACAGGGTGGCCCAAAACTAACTGCCCACACGCAACCCTTTAATAACTCACCTAACTCTTCTTAGAATTGCACAGAAATTTCAGAGATTATAGATATGAGTCAAACTTAGATTTCCAGAAAGTTTCGTCAAATTTAGTTAGTTACAGTGGGTGTGGCACGCCACTTCCTCTTTTTCACTATTGTCACCATAAAGTAAGAACACTTAAAGATGAGAACTTCAAAGTTTCTAGACACATTTGGTTTAATAATCAAAGTGCTTTCCCAAAATTTCAAGTTGGTTGTTCACAATATAAGCGAGTTATGACCCTTTTAAGATCTTGCAGATACGTGATCCAGAACTTAATTTAGTGGGTTGCAACCAACACACTATCAAGGCTCTTCCTAGCGTATCTACAGCTTATATTAGTGTAATTCTGCAGCAATAAGGACGAAAGCGAAAAGTTATCCAAATAACTGCGTTTGTAGAAAAAATATATACCTTATCGGACCTTATTTGGACGGACATTACTTGAACGCTGGAGGCCCTAGCGTTCATCTTAATGTCCGTTCAAATAAAGTCCGTTCAATTAATGTCCGTCCAAGTTAAAGTCAAAAATTTTTCCATTTCGAACTTTTTGTCCAGAATATGACAACTTTGAGAACTTTATTGTGCCGTAAGTTAACGACGAAAAGGTTCTCCTTGGTCTGCCGGAGGCACAGAAAACTCTACTACTACTACTACTAGTATATGATGTTTTCAAGGGTCACTTGACGGAAAAAAGTCAACGAAATTATGGCACTCAACAACATAGTTCATGAACTAGTCCCCGCCAACATGACAAACTTGTTCCAGCCTCTAGATATTATGGGTAAATCGTGTTGCCAAGGACATTGTCGACGTTGTTATAGTTCATATTACTCGGGGGCGGTAATGAAACAGTGCTAGGAAAGCTCCACGTGATGTTAAGGTTAACCTTAAGTTGTCTAAGATAAAACCACTTCACGCCGAATGGCTTGTAAAAGTTAACACTGAAATGCAGGACCGGGGTAGTTTGATAAAAAAAGGTTTCCATAAAGCTAGAAATCACTGATGCTTTAAGCATGGACTATTTCATGCACGAAAACCCATTTGATGAAGATGATATGTGAACACTGATCAGTACACATTTTTAAACTTTTTACTGCTTAATGACTGCTTTTCTTAACTAACTGTATAAAAAAATGGATTCAAAAATCATTTGCTGAAATTTTAAAAAAAGTCAAAAAACCGTCAAAAAAACTTCGGATTTTGTGTTTTGAATGCCTTCGAGCGTTCACACTAATGTCCGTTCATAATTATGTCCGTTCATGTAATGTCCGTCCAAATAAGGTCCGATAAGGTAGAACTTAGACGCCTTTTATTTCTAATGACTATTGTTAAATGATAACTTCTATACGACTCTTGTATTTTCAGTGAAACGAAGAAGCAAAATGAATCCAGAGTTTAAAGATGAGACGAAGATAGAACAAGAAAGTATTATACCAGAATTGATAATGGCAGATATCAAGAAGGAGGAAGATGATTTTCTCATTAAATTAGAAATGTATTCAAATCCTTCCGAAATGCAGCACCTTGCCCAAGAATCATTTACGGAACACCGTCAAGAATTTAATTCTACAATATCTGACTACACAAATAAAGACCAAACATCTTCACAGATTGTAAAAAACAATAATGAGTTAAGACTTTGCCAAACCTCTGCTGCCGAAACAGAGTGGTTGAAAGTAACCCAAAAACAATCAAAATGCTCTGAAACTTCTTACGGCACCGAAACAAAATTGACAATGCTTCTCGATGTGCCGTTTTATACCAGTGAAATACGGTTTAACTGTTCTGAATGTCCATACAGTACAAGCCGAAAATCATACTTAGCTTCCCATCAGAAAAGTCATACCGGAGAAAAACCGTTTAAATGTTCTGATTGTTCCTATAGTGCTGCCCAAAAATCAGCTTTAGTTTTACATCATAGGACTCATATCAAAGAAAAACTGATTACATGTTCTGAAATTATGCAAAGCAATGATGAGTCAACACTTCGCCAAATTTCTGCTGCCGAAACAGAGTGGATGAAAGGAATCCAAAAACAATTAAAATTGTTTGAAACTTCTTACAGTGAAAAACAGTTTAAATGTTCCAAATGTCAATACAGCACAAGCCAAAAATCAACTTTGGTTGTACATCAGTGGACTCATGCCGGAGAAACCCCTTACAAATGTAAAAAATGTTCCTACAGTGCAAGGCAAAAACTATCTTTACTTTTACATCAGAGGACTCATACCGAAGAAAAACCATATAAATGTAATATATGTTCCTACAGTGCAAGGCAAAAATCATCTTTAGTTTTACATCAGCTGACTCATACCGGAGAAACCCCTTACAAATGTTCTAAATGTTCCTACAGTGCAAGGCGAAAATCATCATTAATTACACACCAGAGGACTCATACCGGAGAAAAACCATATAAATGCTCTGAATGTTCCTACAGTGCTAGCCAAAAATCATCTTTAGTTCGACATCAGAGGACTCATACCAAAGAAAAACCATATAAATGCTCTGAGTGTTCCTACAGTGCTAGCCAAAAATCACACTTAGTTTCTCATAAGAAAACTCATTCCAGAGAAAAATCTTTTAAATGTTCTGATTGTTCCTATAGTGCTAGCCAAAGATCACACTTAATTTCCCATCAGATGAGTCATACCGGCGAAAAACCATATCAATGTTCTAAATGTTCCTACAGTGCATGCCAAAAATCAACTTTAGTTGTACATCAGCGGACTCATACTGGCGAAGAACCATTTAAATGCTTTGAATGTTCCTACAGGACTAGCTGGAAATCATCTTTAGTTTTACATCAGAAGAAACATGGCCATCAATCATCGGAATGTCTTTCTAATAGTGTTAGCCATAAGTCAATTTTGGGTTCCCATCAGCGGAACGGAGAAAAATCACAAACTTTTCATGAAAGCAGCATGGTTTCCAATTCTATACAAAACATCGATAGTGTTGGCGGCCCCATTTTCGTCAAGCCTCTACCTTTCGTGAAACCTGTAACATTTGCAAAGCGTTCAACCTTAGCTAACTCCATTCCATCCAGTTAAAGCTTATAAACTGATGTTTAATGATGTGTATTTTGATATTCACTTATCTTACGAATGTTATTTAAGTCAAATATTACTTTCATTTTTCTAAATCCACCGCAAAACTCTGTGGAAAATTAAAGAAATTTACTGAGTTACAGGCAGGAAATAAATTTCAGCAACAGCTGCGTATCGGTTTGAAGCAGCGTTGCCGGTTTGCAATGATGGTGAATTCTGATAATCTTGTACCCTATTTAAGAAGGACATAGTATAATTTTCACTGTTAGACCTATTATTTGTGCAGACAGCCTTCTAAAAACCTTAAAATGTGCGACTGCGAGATGAATACGAGGAAAATAAAATGCTTGTTTACATACTGCCCGAAAAGGGGTTCGCAGTTCCTCTTTAGAGTTTGTCCCAACTTCCTTAATAGACAAGTAGCTTTGTCTTGGTCGGCCTTGCTGTACTCTACCGTGCGTAGGTTCCCATAAGGATAAATCACTGGCAAGTAGCTCAGGATGTCGGATGCAGTGTCCCGCCATTTTTAATCTCCTGCTTCGTAACTTGTTCAACAGCCTTGGTAGGTTACCATACAAAGTTATATTTATATTGCTGACCTTGTCCTTCCATGAGATACCCAGCACCATACGCAACATCTTTGTTTATGTCCCGTCAAAATTTTTCTCTTAAGTCCAGGTTTCTGATCCGTAGAGCAGTACTGATTCACAAGCCGCTATGAAAAATCTAATCTTGAGGCTCTTTGAGAGATTGGATTTACAGATATCCTTCAGTCTATGTAGGGCACCCCACGCTTTTCCCTTTCTAACCCCTATCTCCCTATCTGTGCTCTCAATCCAGGAGTCTAAGTAGATGAAATCATACACATTTTCTATGCTTCCCCGGATCGACTTTGTAGGTCACATGTCACATGTCACATGTCACATGTCACATGTCACATGTCACATGTCACATGTCACATGTCACATGTCACATAACTCACATGTGTCAGTGGAGAGAAGTTCAGTTCCGATCCAAAACCTGACTGTAGGGAAATAGGCAATCAATCAGTTAGTTAGAATTTCTTAGATTTAATAATTCATTTTTGTTTTTGAAACAATTTTTATCCATATTATGAGAAAATATGACATAGTCATAATCGACAGTAACAAAAATTCAAGGAGATATTCGAGGTAAAGACGGTTTAAGGCGAGTTTTTATCTTGGATAAACTCCAGCTCTTGAAATAACTATTGCTTAGAACAGTAGAACTTTAAAAAAGTTAAAAGCAGTAAATTTGAACTGATCTCGTAGAAGTTGCTGTGACAGTTTTGTCAGTTCACACAGGGAACCAACTCACACAGGGAACCAACTCAAGAACGAGGTTAGTTGCTACTTTCAGGTTGAAATGATGACATCCTCTAGGTAGAAGCTTTTGACTTCGCGAATGTTTAAGTCTGTTAACGTTAACAAGCTTAATCTAATTGATGTTCTATGCTTTAGTTTCCTCTTTGTAACAATGGTAGGTGGGCAAGGTTGCTTGTACTCATGTTCTGATGACTATGAAAAGATTAACGAGTTGCTATGTCACGAAAAGGACTATAAGTAAAGTTATTTTGAAGTTGAGTATCAAATAGCAACTGACCGTTGAATGACTCGCATGGCATCATTCTGACTGATTGGTTTATTTCGAGAATTTTGTTTTAAACAGAACTTTGGGTTATTTCATATATTTATCTCATTATATACATTCCTAATCGGGGAATTTCCGGTGTCCGCGTGCCATGCATACTCACGTAGGTAGGTGAGTAATTTTGAAACAGTATCATTCCGCTCGTTTAATTCAACGATTCAGTATTTGTTATTGTACAACAAATTAAACACATGGATTCAAACCGTATAAAGTAAATACTTAAAGTAATCAACAAGTTACTTTATGAATAAGAAAAGTTACGAATAAAGAACAAAAACAAAATAAGACAATATATTCAAGAAAGAAACAAAGATTAAAGTGGTCATAGTATCAATATGTTATGGAGCAACGTTTATGAAAGGTACTTTACCAAAGCACATGCGTGGTTGAAAGGTACCACCTTAGAGCCTTAAGAAATAAGGTTGAAAGGTACCTTAAGGTACCTTAAGAGACATGCTAAAGATTGAACATTCTAAGTTATGCGTTCTTTGGTAGAAGTAAACAAATACAAATCATAAAGGTATCATACGAAATTGGCGTTTAGAAACACATACAGTTCCAATTAAATGAGTAAAGGGTAAAATTTCCAGGTGCCAATTTCATTTGACAATATTAAGATATCAATAATAATTAAGGGAGTCTCTGTAAACTTTATCGAATGCTTGATGTTCATTCCTGGTCGGCTGATTGCATGCAGTACAATAGTTATAAAATACCAGTTATTGTAAAATTAAAAACGACTGTTTCACCCTCATAATATGAGCACCATAATAAATGGAATCAGTTTCAATTGAAATTGAAAAAAGCGACCAGTACGAGACCTATCTGGTGAACAAAAAAAATGTATGAAAATATGATCAATACATAACATTATGAGTGTTTTAAAGTTTTACGAGGCGGAGCATAGTCCTGAGTCTTTAGAATTCTCCTCACTGCAGTCTTTACTGCACTTAGCCTTATCATTTTCCATAATGGCAATGTCTTTGAGAGGCTCATTTATAAGATCGCTAGACCCGGCACGTTTCATGCCAATGTTTTGTTTGGAGCCGCGTCTTCCCTGGCACTTGGGCACAACCCCCATTTCCTCACCCCCGGGGGTGTGGTCAGAGGATTTGGAGATAGAGTTGTCCCATCGTGCCTCCACCGAGTTGTGGCATTTGTTGACAAATATGGAGAACTTGGAGCGGGCAAATTTGCCGAATCCCTTGTGGACGAAGGAGTAGAGGAAAGGGTTGCCAAACACGCTGAGAATGTAGAAGTGGATCTGGACCTTGTCCAGCCATATAAGGGATTTAGCACTTATCCCATGCACTCCCAGTAAGATCACCAGGATGGACGGTAACCAGGCCACCACAAAGAGACCCGCGACAGAGGCCACCGTCATCAGAGCTTGGTTGTTGGAGAGATCCTTAAATCGATGCCTTGCTATGATGTACATTCCGATATTAATCAGAACGATTCCAGCGAAAGGTATGAGCATCTGAACCATAACTCCGGACACCGCCAGGCTCTTATGCCGGGAGTAATCAATATCACAAGCAGCAATACTCGGCCTGAAGTATACCTCAATGTCGAGGGAGAGCGAGATGACGGAGCATATTGCGGAGTAGCCCCACAGTATGAGAGCTAGGATAGTTGCTTTGTTTCGGACGGAGAGGCTGAACCGGAGAGGGAAGAGGCACCGGAGGAGACGGTGGATGGAGACGGTGAGGATGAAGTGCATGCTGGCTATGGTGCTGATCGTTACTGTGTTGGCTGAGAGGAAGCACAGCACTTTTCCCATCACCCATCTGAAATAGAATTTTCTGTTAGCTTATTGTAGTAAATCTTAGAATTTATACAATCGTACTGAATCAGTATGTATGGAAGGTGATTCTCTAAGCAAGCCTGTTAGAATACGATATCTAGAAATTTTGCCACACCAAGTGTGGATTCTTTTCGATATAAATTTATCAGCACTATCAGGTTCATAGGTATAACTTGCTTTCTTGACAAATGACTTTATATTTATATGAATTCACGATTACTTTTAAAGTAGTCGGCACATCAAAGTGGACCTCAGAATATCTGTGCGAAACCGGGCCGGTATGCACTTCTTTTCAACAACAACATTACATGTTCATAGACACTTATAATTAGTGAAGCAGTCAAGCAGTTTAACAAAAAGCTGTTGTGCGACTTCTCTGAAGTTACACTGAAATAGACTGGCATTTCCTTAGACTGTACAATAATACTCCGAACTGATCGCTCTACAGTAGGTACTCTGCTTTACCATCTAGTATCAGCTCAGTTCCGATATCTCTCCCTCTCAAGTTGTACAGCTTACTGTGGAGCCGTGGTACGGCTATGGTCAAACCTTAGGAATTCGCTTCCGGCGCATTTCTTTCTCCTTATTATAGCCGTTTGTAATCCGAATCTTGCTATTCTAAACTTTACAATTTTCTAAAAATAACAGGCAGAGCTCAGCACCTTAGGTATGAAGACAAAAATACAGGACCACATCATCACTGAGCCAGAACCTTGGAACCTTCCAGGCTATCAGATACTCAGCCTCCATCTCAATAGCAACACTTCAATACATGACTCTAAACTCATAAAACTATTGAAAATTGAAGGTCTGACATAACGACCTGTTACTGTGGTGTCTAAAAGTCGCGTCAAAAAAGCCGTTGTTTCGGAAGAAAACGTGCTGTAACTCTTCTCTATTTGCACAATATACAACACGTCATGTCGACATAAATTGCTGCTAATTTTCAGCTTGACTGGATTTGGAATTATTGACCAAAACTTTCAAAATGTTTTTTTTTTCACCTTTACAATAAAATTTTCTGTTATTTCTTCTTTAAGATTATATGATTTCTTGGTTCAGCGATTAAAGTAAATAATTTTTAATGAAACGTTGTAAAACAGTTGAACAACTGAACTCACCCTCGTGCAAAATGAACGGTGATAGAAGGAAAGACTCTGATGACGATGTAGAGAATGTCCGCTATAGCCAGGTGCCGGACAAACACCATGGTGATACTATCCAAGCTGAACACTGTGTACTTCAGGGTGGCAAGGATTACTATCAGGTTTCCTCCCACTCCGAAGATGAGAGCGAAGAGGGCGTAGATTCCGAATACTATCGTCTCTGGCAGGGACACGTACGTCTGAAATGGGTGATTTGTTAAACTCTATGGTGGTTGGTTTCATCGTTAAAGCAAACTTTAAATTTTATCATAAGGCAAGTTTTATAAAACAAAGTTTAAATTCTACGATGACTTTTACTTTAAGTTTTAATTTCATCAATAAAGTTGAATAATAAATTGTTAAATGTTACAACCAATAAAAATGTAGGGATGTTAAAAGTTTTTATATTCAATTACAATTCGTCAACCTGTTTTTGGTTTACGCATATTGATTAAGTTTAGCATTGCATGCCCTGTCTTTAAATTTTGTTTTAAACACAAAATGAATATTATGCTATTATGCGCGATGAAAACCCTCAAATCACCATAAAACAATAATAGGGTTTCTAACCCTACTATGTCGGGTTTATAACCCTACTAGGATGGGTTTCTAACCCTACTATGTCGGGTTTATAACCCTACTAGGATGGGTTTATAACCCTACTAGGATGGGTTTATAACCCTACTAGGATGGGTTTATAACCCTACTAAGATAGGTTTATAACCCTACTAAGATAGGTTTATAACCCTACTAGGATGGGTTATCTGGATTGTGGTATGGGTAAGAACGCGAGGTCTACCAGACAGTTCTAGTCGGGAAGTAGCCCAGAAATATCAAGATTCCCTACTTTCCGGCTTAGTCATGGCCTCCCCGTTATAGGGGTATCATGATAGCACGATGGAGTTAAAAAAAGCAAAGTTGACATCACCGTACAGGGTATATTAAAACATTTTCTCATGACATGACATTGCCCTTGGATAAATTACATTGTACATTATGGAACCCGAGGTTAAAAGTGATAATTTTGGAAGCCCATAATTGTCCGATATGACAGTTTGCCCGGAGATAACAGGAATTGCAGAGATCTTTTATGAATTTTAAAACACAATCTTAATATATCCTTCCTTAATTATGACAGATGACAACCCTTTGGAATACAAATTCCTTCCAGTCAAATCCGAAGACCCATTACAAAACCGGAAAGCCATAGTAATACTGGTGAACGAAGAGAAATTGCAGAAGAACAGCATTAAAGAAAGTTTATTCAGGAATAAAGAAACTTTGTTTAAGATTGGAGAAAATTAGTTCAAACCACGAATTAACTTACTCGGTGCATTTCAAGATGATCTTAAAGAGATCATTATGATCTATAAAGTGTTTGTATCATTGCACATAACAAGATAACAGGGATCAGAATGGTGTAAAATGTTTAATTTCAGGCCTACATGGTGCATGTATCAATTATAAAGTTATTCTAGTTTAAAAAAAACATATTTTAAAGATTTTAGTTTTTTTTTCGTGCAGCACTCATCAAATTTTTGAGATGTTATTTAACTTTCAAATAGTCATATCAAAGGTATATATTATTCAAAGTTAAAGAAATAAGAACTAACCTGATAACATTGTCCTGCGGAGGAAGTGAGATTCGCGTCCGACATTCCCGTCAGAGAGAGACCAAGGAGACTGTCTGTGTCTTCGTGGATTATACATTCCGCCACCATCTCTACTATTGCCTACAGGGAGGATTCTGTTAGAAATGTTTTATCTATCTTTAGTTTTATTTCCGATGTTTATGTTAGCATTATATTGCACAATGGAAAAATAAAATAACTGGTACATTGATTGAACCATTGATCTAAACGTGTTTCTTAGCATTTAACACTCCCTCAACCCAGTTTTAATATGTGATCTCACATTGAGATTTCCGGTAAAGTGAGGTTTGAGATTTGAAAATGAATGAAGCATGTGCACTTAGATAATTAAATGATGAAAATAAAAACTGCAGAGTTAGATATTCTCCGGAAGCAATCAGAATTCAGACGAACGATTCAAGGTAAAGTAGTTCCGTAAACGGAGGTAAAGTACACGTTTTGATTTGTAACTAACTACTATATCTTGCAAAGGGCACGAGACATGTGCCAAATCATTTGTAAGGTATGCATGCGTTAAAAGTGTCATAATTGTCAATTATTCGGATGATAAGGTAAACTTCGAGACAAAATTACACTTCACCTCGACGATGTTAATTTATGTTCAAGACACGGGTAGCAACTATGAGACTTACAAAAAACCCGCGAATAATTCTATATAAAGTAAGCACGTTCCATGGTTATTACAGGCTGGTTGAGTGGGAAACAATAATCGGGTGTTCCCGTTCTGAGACTATCAGAGTCTTAGAGTCAGCTCAAATAAGGGGTGAAGCCAGCCTGTCAATCCTAATTAACGACGACTTAATCAGATCAGCTGCCGCAACTTTATCAGGGCACTGTAAGTCCGGTACAACGCTCCGGACAGTTTCAACTTGAACTCTGACAATTTGAGAGGTGTAGGAAGCCGATAAGACTGCACAGGAGAGCTGATGACACTTGCTCCAGCAATAGTGAGGAGGAGGAGGAGTGAGGAGGGATCCTGCATAGTACAGGGAGTCTGACAGCTCTATCACTGGGGTTTTGTCTAGTCAAGAGAACTGCAGTAATATCGTGCCAAAAAACAGGAGGTGAACCTGCCAGGGCAGGGCAGGGTGGCAGGACAGTGGCAGTGTCTTTCTAACTTTATCTCGGAGAGATGATTGGTTATGCTCGGTGCTCATGTCTGAATCATGGTCACCGTCATGGTGAGGGATGTTGCTGGTGATAAGTTGACCGTGTCGGAAAGTAGTGAAATAGTAATATGTCACATTAGAGGATACATTAGGGAACCAATTTGGGAACTTAGAGTGCGATTTTTTCGCTTCTTTTGAAAATTGTGTCAACAAAGTGAATTAAATTTATTGATTGACCCTTGCGCCAGACTAGGCCAACAGACAATTTTCATTATTACAACCAATAACCTTAAAAGAATGGACTATGGAGGCTTCACATATCACTTCCACACAACAAAATCTTCCACACAAAAAAATCTTGAGCAATAGAGACTTCTGATTGCTCATTAAACAAAGATGGCGATAGAAATATGGCGACTCGAAGCACTAATAATGTAAGACCAAAGGGTTTTACGAGAATTTGGATTTCCAAGAAGCTTTTCAAGTGTTGTATTAACGGATAACCCCCTTCAATCATTAGCCGATGGTTAATTATTAATTATTGACCAGGCAATTTCGCTTATTCTAAATCTACACAAAAGGCTTTCCATATTAACAAAATATTACGCCAGACGCACAACAGACAATTCAAACTAGACACCAGTCACCAAGTTCGGAGAAATGAAGCTCGACATACTTAAACTATTAAAAGTTCTGGTATCTTATAAACAATTGCTGATGTGCCGTTAGCTGCGGGGCTGTTGTTAAACACGGACCTATAACCAGAACTCAATCGCCACCAGGCATGTTTAAGTTCTATTATCAGGTACTGGACACATGCGTGTTAAACACCAGTGAGCCCCGAGCAGTGAGTGCTATACTTGCAACCAGAGGGTAACGGTGATGGATCATGCAGCTGTGGGGAGATGACAGAGGCATGTCGGAATGCAACTAGCGATAAAATCAGATACTGCTGCCAGAGAGGATCAGGGCAGGGTACCAAAACAGAAATGTGAGCGTTCCTCTGGGCTGAACTGTTAAACACGTGTGTGGGCTGTGTTAAACAAGTTGTGCTGTGTTGTTCTTCAACCATGTTCAACACGTTGATTGTCGGGGTGGCCACTGTTAAACCTCCTGCAACAACTTGTCATAGTTCTCATCAGAGCTTCAGAATATGCCGTACAGCACTGTATTTTAGCACTGATAGCACTACAGCGCTGACCGGCCTATAGCACATCAAGTACCCAACTCAAAACAAATCTCATGTGCAACTACAGTAAGTGTCGACTATCAGAATTTGAACTAGACTGGATATACAGACATTATCTTGAGAAATACAACGGTAGTCTCGCCACCGCCCCCTGTATTATCAGGAGATAACGAACAAGTCTGACGACAGAGAGAGAGAGAGAGAGAGAGAGAGAGAGAGAGAGAGAGAGAGAGAGAGAGATCCCCGGTGAGGACTGTGAGAAGGACTCCTCCGACTAGTGAGCCCGAGAAGGGAAGTTGTACAAGATTCTGTTATCTGGAGAAACCCTTCTACTCTCTCTCGCTCTCTCTCTCTCTCTCTCTCTCTCTCTCTCTCTTGCTCATCCCCACTCTCTGACGTACACTGCTGAACTGTCCTGATACATCCGCATCAAGCTGGTTCAACTCTAACCCTGGTCAGGCTTCTGCTCATTTGTATTCGAACTATCAGGAAATTACGTCAAACCCCGGGAATTGAAGACAGACGTAAAGAGAAAAAGTGAAAACTGACATCATGACATCCTAACACATTGGGAAGAATGCAGCTGTGGGGAGGGAGAAGTGGGACCACAAGTGAAGCAGGCCAAGTGAACCCTCTCAGGAGACGGACCAACAGGTGAACAGCAATATAACCCATACAACTTCCCCATAGCTGCCCTGTGTGGAAACTGGCCCACCTACTATCACAGTGCATTAGTTGAAGTTGCTAGAAGTTAGCAAGGAGTTGTAGGATGTACTAATATCTTGGCATTAGTCTGAGTATGTGGAGGTATGGAGATGGAAGTGCCGATAAGGGGGGAAGTCAGGGAGAATTAGTATAGTTACTGCCATTACTGTGATTATCGTAGCCTAGTAAACTGTTGGAGCATAACGAGCGCATGGAGCAAGCAGTTTTTAGTGCGGAGTGCTGTCAAAAAAGTTATCATCAACAGGAACTTAGATGTGGACCCAATTTGTGGTCCTGTACTTTTAGTGTGTTTTGTGACATCTCTTTGATGTTCATTTATTAAGGTTAATTTACCCTAAAACTTCCTAAAGCTTCCTTAAATTGGACACGTTTAAACTTCCATTGATGTTTTGTTGTACTAGGCAGTAGGCACTGGAGACTTTAATTTATCTGTTATTAACAAAACGAGATACACTCTTCTAGTAAGCTAAATGGGAAAGGAACCAAACTGTACCGGGCCGTTAATTGTGCCTTATCAATAAGTAATAAAATGGTACTGAAGACATGAATTCAATTTTATAAAAAGGATTGTGAACCGACGTCATTTTATGATTTATCGAATAAATCTTTTATTTCAGTAAAAAATGTGATTTAGAAAGTTACATTCAATTGTCGCAATATAATAAGACTCGGTTGATTGATCGAAAGCCCCTCGTAAGGGGAGTGTCTCCAATGGTCGTATTTGTTATAATCAGTTTTAAAATATAAACCCCGATGGGCACTCCAGTGCTTCCCCTACCAGTACTATATGTTAATTGTGTCTCATCACTGGGACTAGAATAGTACTGAAGACTGGAATACAACGTTAGATTTGTGGGATTGGTATATACACGTAACTTATGGGAAATTGGTAGATCACCGACCGGCTATCAGCCGGTTATAAGCCGGCTATAAACCGGCTTATAGCCGGCTACAATTTTTATAGCCGGCTATAAGCCGGCTTATAGCCGGTTAGTAGCCGCTTACATTTGTTGTTGAGCGACGGCTATTAGCCGGTTATAAGCCGGCTGTTAGCCGTTTAGGTATCGGCTATAAGAAATTCAGTGAAAACGGCTATTAGCCGGATATAAGCCGGCTATTAGCCGTTTAGGTATCGAAAGTGGTTATAAGCCGGCTATAAGCCGGTTATAAGCCGGTTATAAGATATTAACTCAACTACATCGTACTGAACGATAGTCAGGAGCCGGCTATAAGAAATTCAGCGAAAACAGCTATAAGCCGGCTTATAGCCGGCTATAAAAATTGTAGCCGGCTATAAGCCGGCTTATAGCCGGTTAGTAGCCGGCTTATAGCCGGTCGGTGATCTACCAACTGGCCTAACTTATAATACAGTTGCGCGTTGCGTTTTTTGGGTAAGCAAGTAAAAGGAATAAAATGATAAAATGACAGGGCCATCTATCTTGTCAGCAACAACTCATATAGTTCGAATTGTGCACAGTAAACATTATGCTCTTTTATATCTCACTTACTTCGAGTAAATCTTTTCAAGAGTTAGTTCTGTTTTAGCAAAAAACCGATATTACTTTATCAAAGCTCCAATTTGATTTAGATTCGTATCCAATGTGATGTGGAAAGATGCAAAAAATTGCAGCAATAAGCTACCATTTGTATCCATATTATTGACTGTTCAAAATTTTGCGTCACAGTAAAAATAATCATAGTCGAATATTTGCACCATTGAAATCATGCACGGTTAAACCTATGAACATTTTGTTAGTGATCGAGCACATAAAAACAATTTAAATTAAAACCGATAAACTAGCTTAAAATCTTATACAGCAAATAAAACCGGAACAGGCAAAATACTGGCCTAAAACAATAAGTGCAGCGGTTTATATACACCACCATCAAAGAATGTTCCCCGAGAAGCCTTGCTCGAGTGGTTTTCCGTGACTGCAGGATGATAAGTATCCTTGATGGGCTATCAGTGACGTCTATTAGGCCATCATAAAGCTGGTATCGTCAGCGGTGTGGTCGTGATGCCATCAAGCTGCACACGTCTCCAGGGATCCAACTGCACGCGTATCTTCGCAGGTAAGATGTGAGTTCAGCAGAGTTACTTTGGTTAACAGCATGTGACCAAGAATTGAGTTCAGCAAAGTCACTGAGGCTAACATGTGACCAATATTGGTACGATATTGTACCAATCTACCAAATAACATAGTGCATTTCTGCGGTTTTCATTTGAAGAGTCAGGCAGGAAGCTGGAGGGGTAGCGGTGTGGCAGGTAACGGACGTCTTACGGATAAGGGCGGGCTGTGTTTAATACAAAACGGTTTCTTAATTCAGAATGTGTTCCAACCTTATTCTTGGTGAGTGGTGACATGTTGGTCATGGTCATATTGGCATCATGCCAATATGTTGCGTGCACTTGCGAGGATCATCACGCGTCCCCAATCAACAGTCACCATCCCGTCACAATGAGACAATGGAGTCACAATGTCGTCACAATGAGACAATGTCGTCACAATGTCGTCACAATGTCGTCACAATGAGAGAATGTCTTCACAATGTCGTCACAATGAGATAATGGAGTCACAATGTCGTCACAATGAGATGATGGAGTCACAATGTCGTCACAATGAGATGATGGAGTCACGGAGTTTACTGTTTTCAGACCTGATCTAGCTGTGTCAGGTAAAATGTCATAATAATGTCATCAATTTCACAGCTAGAGGGTTATGTCACCAGTACCTTCGTCAAGCAGTCCTCAATCTGACAGTTTGAGATAGCCCGGTATAGTGTTGTCAGGTGAACTTGGCCCCTAAGATCGCCCGGTATCAGCGTGTCTGCCAATTAATATGCACATAATATGTACCACGCCCTGACGCCCAACTTCAACAGACTTTTATCTTCGAATTTTCGGACCAAGAAAGAGGAAATGTTTGACGGTCGGAATGATTGCCGCTAAAAGATAGTAATAGTTGGGTACTGAATATCATGCGAAATACAAACATCTATATCGGTTACCTTTATTAATTTCGAGCATGAGAAATTATTGGCTGAGCTTAGAGCTGTCACCTGAATCTTATTTTGGACTTGTTTTGGGCACCATGCTCTGCCTTGTTGGTGCTAATACAGTTTAGAGAGGGCCACAACAGAGCGCATACCTGACAACCCTACTAGAAGCTCCCCTCAGCTCCCTTCTTTGACAAGCTGGCCACCGAATACATGTGGCTACATTCTACAGCTGTTTAACTGAATATACGTGTCATTCTTACTGACATTCTGAAGAAATCATTGATCTCAATATTAACATCAATATTGATTAAACACTACCATCACCATCTTGTCATGAATTGTGGATACGGATACTTTTAACCGTTGAACACAAACTAAAGCTAAAATCCCGCAGCAACTCTGTTAGATATTTAGAAATTTTATAGTTTTTAACGTGCAGGTAAAAGTGCAAAACTTCTGGAAAACTATTTATATCGTTTAGTGTTGATACTGGCCGTCAAAAATCCCAGTAGTAATTTTATAGCGCCATCATCACATTCTGTTGTGAGTGGTCATTAGTTTTTAAATTCCTGCAAATTGGCAACATTTCAAAGAGATTTTCCTAAAAAAGTAGCAAAATAATCTTGAACATTAATTAGAAACATCTTGATCAAACAAGTGACCGTACAAAATGCTTTAAACAAAAGGACCGCTCTTAATTTTCTGGGGCGAATGACGAGCTAAGTACTCAGATACTGCTTCAAAGTGTGATGGTTTTGAATTGCGAGTTAGACTTTTGCTTACTAGTATTATAGTGGTCCCTAAGTTTTCGGGAAAAATAATTGCCAGTCTTTAGCTTTTCCGACCTTTAGTCCATACTGCTCAAAAAATCTCCCAAACTGTACGAAATTATAATTCTGCAGCACCAGCAAATCGTAGACTGGAATTACATATGTTATTCCAGACTTCAGTGCGTGATAACAATGCCACAATGGGCAACTAACAATTCTGAAAAGTTCGAGGTGTAATTTTCTCCTAATTTTTTAACATCTGGTCACCGGGACCACTATGATTATTTAAGATTACGATCATCTTAGACTAAGGTTTTAACTCTTTAATATATTATTATATGCCTCCAACAGTTACCATTGCGTCAAATGAGACGAGAAGGACGGGGCATATTGGCACTCAACATTCTTGAAAATACAGCTCATAATCGCTATTTTCGAACCATCGAAGTATATCTATTTTATCTATTTATGTTCAACAGAATTTAAGGTACAAGATAAGTTGTTAAAATATAGGCAACAAATTAGCTCGGGCCCCCTCCCCCCCCTCATAATTGGATTGGGGATGAAATAAAAATCACAAGCTTAACATCAAATACCAAGTAAGTAACCATCTTTTAACCGATTTGCAGCCATGTGCACCACAAAAATAATCAATGGTATGCTAGTAGCCACCTACTAATAGTATAGTAGTAGCCGCCTAGTAAGCACCCACGATAACCAAATATTCAAATGAATATTGAGTTGGCTTTATGCCGGCTGCCCTCTCACCCTCTAAAAAATGTTGCTGTTTGGCATCATTTAAAGAAGTTTTACACGTGCAATAGTTGGCAACAGTTTCCCCGGAAATAACAACGATATAAACTCCCATTAATAGTAAAAAAAACATACATGACACACAGGAGAGAACCTTATCATCAGGAATATCCTAACATATAAAGTATAAACATTCCAGACGACCAACTAACCTTTTATGACACATATACCCGACGTTAGCTGTGTCGGTGAGCGAACGTCTAAGGTATCTACCGGGAGGATTATTGGAATTGATTTCGTCTGAACTTGTTAAAGTTGGCAAATTACAGATTAAGGTTTTGCAGATTCACATAAGTCACTGTTGACAGCATTACTTTAGGGACAGGTTGTTAATGTTGGGTAGAGTCTACCCGGTAGACCATGCTGCAAAAAGAGTTATCGTTAAAAATAAAGTGTTCCTGACTTGCTTAATTCTTTAATTTTCAACATTTATGGTATAGACTGACTACCCGGTATAAACTTTTATCCCTTCGGCTGATTCACACGAACGTGTTGGCGCGACACGATCAACAACATGTTGTTAGCACTAGTTTATGATAATTTGCAGAGCCGCATGATGGTGAATTGGATGCTGAAGAACAGTAGTATCCCATAGTCCCCCATACATGAACCTAGTCCCGAAACATTGAGTAAAAAAGTACAACGCAGGTTAGTCGATTGAGAAAAAGCATTCAACATGACCAACCCTGCGGTAAAACATAAAAGAAAAAGTAGTACCCGAAAAAAACTAACCTCAGTAGTAGAATTAGCTATCATGTTTTCAGGACCTTTCAACAGACTTGACTAGAATTCCAGACCAGTGCGACAAAAGCCAAGCATCTACAAAATCTAACAGGGATTGTGGCAGGATGCAGCAGACGGTCCCGTCTAAAAGCGAGGATATCAGGCTGTTCAATTAACAGCTGGAGTAGCGTGGCAAGAAGACCGGGTCCCGTCAACAGGAAGAGGGATGCTGTTTGCTATATGGCTTCCGTCCGTCCGTCCCGTTGACAATCTACTTCACCTCCCGGAGGTGAAATAAACCAGAAACTGGCGTCACTACCACCGTTTCACCACCAGGCTGTTGTGCGCGCCGCACGGATATGACCGTATTGTTCGGTGTGCTTGCTCTGCTGTAAACCTGTTTTTGCAAGCTTACGTCGCCGTTTAAACCGGAGGGCGTGTCACCTGACGGAACAGTCACCCCACGTGGCATGACACGCAGTGTTCTGCGTTGCTAGGATACGCAGGTAAAAATCACGTGATGTCACATGAAAATTTGTCCTGTTTAAAAATCATGATGAGCCGCGTGCGGCAGCCGGAGATCGAGCGGGCTGGTGAAGCCTTCCAAACTAGTGCTGCATCAACACTATTGTCAACAACCACACATTGTAGTAACGTGCCGACTTATCGCTATATCTTATCACATATCGGCTAGTCATTATCAGCTTACGATATGTACAAACTTTTAAATCTCACATTATGGTCTGTTAAATTTAATACCACATTGCTGAACCTCACAACCCTATTTGATGCGCGTCAGCTGTCAAAAGCTGTACCCCTTTGAAAGGTTTGAAATCCAGGGCTTCGGAAATTCCCCTGTTCTGAATCCCACCAATCTCCAGAGTCCGCAGTACAATTAAAGCCGCTCGGCCTGCTGGTCTAAACCCTGGTGACCGCTGGAGCCAGGACAATAGCGGCCTAGGCTGCTCCGGGCTGCTCGTGCCGCCGCAGATAAAAGGAGTGCCAATTAATAAAGGTAACCGATATAGATGTGCTGAGGTCCGCCCGTGAATACCAGGAAAAGGAAGTCTTATTTTGGTGAATTTCGGTTTAAGGTGGAGTCCACGACTGGTTTAAGTTTAACATCGTAACATTCTAACATTGTAGATCTTTCGTATTAATTATTGTTGCGAGCTATGTTTACTGTTAAGCCTAGAAGATAATATTAAGGAGAATGGTCCAAGAAATTACAGACGTGGTTATTTAAATCCGTGCAAGAATCGTTATATCCAAGTCAATATGTTTCGTGGAACTGCTAGGACAGGAAATTTGCTCCTCAATTTCAGTACAATATTTCAAGTTTTCGTGAATTTATACTGAGGAGTGAAGAGGAAACATTAAAAGCTTAATTCCACTGTGGACCAATAGTAGTGCAGGTTTCAGCCATAAGAAAAAACTGTGAAGTTCACTGATAAATAAGATACAAACCTACTCGCCTCTAGGATAGGTCCACAAATATAGACATCATTTAAACCCTGACATTTTCCTAACAGCATGATACCCCAGCAAATATAATTGCAGAGAATGAATTAGAACCCCACAAAGTTCTCCACTTAACAGATCAGAACAGTGTCAAAATAGCCCGTTTAGTATGAGCTATTATCTCCTGACCAGAGGACAGATGTACAGTAGAGTAACTGTCTTTCTTAATGATTGTCCACCTTTCAGAGGTCAATTTTCAGAGTCAGGGTGACTTTAAAGACTCCTTGACATGATGATCAGGAGGGACAAGAATAACGACGGTCAATAAGAAGTGGTCACTTGGTGACTCATGTCTGTTATCTTGCTACCTAGCTGCCATGATGTTGGGATGGGGGATGCCGTGGGAACTAGGCTCGGTCAGTAGCTGGAAATGAAGTTTCTTTCCCAGCCGAATATAATTGGGTGCCGTGTGGGCACGTACTTGGGTATGTTAAATGCAGTTTTAAGAAATAAAAGCAACAGCTTGTTTCTATAGAGGCAGTGTAAACAAAACAAAACCTAGAAACAACACAGTTAAGTGAAGTCATTTGAAATTTAAAGTAGGATTAATGCGCATATTAAATATTTGTATGAGTACGACAAAAAGTATGAACAAAATTACTGAATATTTTACAATAATGATATATAATCTTACTATATATAAAGCGAGACGATATATATATGGTATACCGATTGTGACATACGGATGTCAGGTGTGGCTCCCAGAGACTCTCTTTGTCAGAAACTATCAAGATAATATCAACACCAAATCTCTCCTGAAGGAGACTGCAAGAGATCCTCTCGAAAAGCTTCATCTCTCATTCCTCAAGTGGACCTTAGGAGTGGGCAGAAAAACCTCAAATGCGAGTGTATGGGGTGATACAGGCCGCTGCCCCCTAGTGATAAAGGCATCAAAGCAAGTATTTGGGTATTTCAACCGACTTGAGCAAATGGACAGAGCTGGTTGCACAAGTCTAGCCAGACAGGCGTTCATAGAACAACGCACACTCAATCTGCCATGGTACAAAGGTATAGAAGATCTCCGACAAAGCCTTCAGTCAGTATCATCTCGCAGGTTGACCTACCCCAACCAATTCAAAACAGCACTACGTAGTACTTTTATTAACTGTTGGAACGAGGAGCGGCAAAACAACCGAAAGCTCAGTTTCTACAACACTATCAAAAGTGAATTTACAGCTGAAGCGTACCTGAACCTGCAGCTCAGTGGAGAAGAGGTGAAGCGGCTGGCGCAGTTCAGAATGAGTGCTCATAAGTTCAACATCGAGACCGGTAGATACGCCATCAACCGTGAAAATCCGCTCAGTCGCATTTGTAAGCACTGTTCTTCATCAGACCTTGAAGCTGTCGGTATACTGGCCGAACTACCAATGTTTGAGCCGATCATTGAAGATGAGAAACACGTTCTCACGGATTGTTCGCTTTACGACGACCTGAGGCGAAACATAGGTCAGCAGGCGAGAACCATGATCACCTCTGGAGCGGAGACCTTTGCCGACCTCTTCAAGGATATCCTATTGATCAGAGAAACTGCCAGATTCTTGAGTAAAGTGAACAAGCGGAGGTTCCCCCCGAGTGACAGAAAAGAAAAGGAAGGACCTACAACATGACTCACGGACTCAACATGCGAAACGTGGATCCGACTGTGTGTTATTTTTCGTGTGCGTTTCACACTTTTGATTTAGTGTGGAATTTATGTGTGGATCTTAGGCATGGACACAAAGGACTGGTTGTTCGCGTCATGAACATTCCTTTTTGGAATAGCTCGGTTTTTAAACTCTTTAGACTATAACCGTCAACCGTGCATTTTTCAGGACAGGTTTCGGTTTTTTCGTTTTTGACTTTCATTTTATCTTTATTTTTTAATATTTAGATCCGACACAATGTTTATTGTAATGATCATTTTATTTTGAAATCCTTGAAATCCTTGAAATCCCTATATATATATATATATCTGTGCCATTTTACTGACACCACAGCATCAACTTTAACGCGACTTTCCGCAAAAACCGTAGAAGATATACAACTGGAACTTTTTTGGCTAGGTCAAATGCTTTAATGGCCTTCAAATCAGCATGAAAAAATAAAAAATTGGCCAAGGAATAATGATCTTAGAGCCGAAAATTTGGACCCCCAAGTGGTGTCAAAAACGCCAATTAAATAGGTAATAATTATTTTAGTATTTTGATTTTTGAGTCTTGACACCACTTTAGGGTTAGACGGGTTCCTGCTAGTATATATAAAGCGAGACGATATATATATATTTATCTGTGCCATTTTACTGACACCACGGCATCAACTTTAACGCGAATTTCTGCAAAAACCGTAAAAGATATACAACTGAAACTTTTTTGACTGGGTCAAATGCTTTAATGGCCTCCAAATCAGCATGAAAAAATAAAAAATTGGCCAAGAAATAGGAGTTTTAGAGCCCAAAATTTGGTACCCCAAGTGGTGTCAAAAACGCGAATTAAATAGGTAATGATTGTTTTAGTCTCTTGAGTCTTGACACCATTTTAGGGTTAGACGGGTTCCTGCTAGTGATACATAAAGCATGAGCATTGAACACGAATCAGGATAATTTAATTCAACTTGTACATAATGCAGTTGCTTGAAATCGTAAACCTTATTTAATTCGATAATATCTACAATCATGAATAAGATCAGCAGTAATGGGGCTTTGGGATATTAAATCTGAAATGTGAAGCAAATACAATGTCGTTTAAAAGTAAGTAAAATGCCTTGTTCAGACAATGATTCTGGCTAAATAGCGACTAGAGAAGATAAGTCATCTTCATCAAATTAAAAAGGTCTATCGAAATTACATTGGACGGCGTCCAAGGGCGATGCTAAAGGCAGATAATGGCTCAACTCCACATTATTACGGATTTTGGACGATAAAAGGAGGGATAAATCTTATAGACAATGAACAGAGATTTACAGTAAGAACAAAATCGAGTGTCATAAATCAAAGCATCGAGTTCCTAGTGCATAAATTAAGTTCGATAATCACGAGAATTCTTAATCGTCAACTTAAACTCTCAACAAAGAAAAGTTCGAACTCGATCATAATTGTAACAACGGAAAAGTATAATGTCAATGAGCATTTAATGGAAAAATCTTCCTAAGAAAACATAAATCACATGACATATCGATTTTAGGATTAATCTAAGTTCAAACAATAAGTAAAGTCTGCATTCCCAAATGTTCATCTACTCAATTGAAATTTTCAGACTCGACCATGGGACATGGGTTGTACGACTTTTTTTCTGCGACATTTTACCTCCTGATGTATTTATATAGCTCCTATATGGCTATAAAAACGTGCAAGAAACGTGACTATACAGTTTACAGTTACACTTTACAGTAACGCTTATAAAATAAACACCAACATAATTCCCAAATCAAAGCCCTAACACTTCTGCAAATTTATTAATCGGTGCGTTGAAATTTCCAAAGAGCAACTACTCATGGATGACCAATACTGTTGCATAATATCAATTCAACAGAAAACTAAAAGGCATTGTTTCCGAATGAAACTATGCAGGTGTTTCGGCGCGTCTAATTCTATGCATCTTATACTTGTCTAGAAACTATAATATCGTATTTATAGGACAAACTTCTGATTTTATGGTTCTGGGTTATGTTATATCAGATCTGACGATGAATGATCTGTAAAGATGATTCGCTCATGGCGCACGTGCATCGTCATAGGTACGTGCAGCGATAAAAACCTAGAACGTCATGTAGATTGTAGAAGGTCATAGTTACTGGATAATGTACGTTTACGTGATGTACGTGAGTTGTAACAACGTGAGTTGTAA